AGAAGAGGATTTTAGATAATTCGATTTTTAGAATCGACCAATTACTAACTTTGATCCGACAATGATATAACGTATATATAAAAAAAAATGCATTATGTTATTACCAATGTAACATTTTGATTTTTTTTTCTCATTGATTAATAAATAAATAAATAAATATATATATATATATATATATATATAGAAAAAAGAAATCCAGCAAACACCAGGCTTAGGGTCAATCCATTGTACATAGGGTTTGATGATGGCTGATTCTAATACTCACTTGGTTATAGAGCTTCTCCACTTCTCTCTTTCCTCCTCCCTCTTGAATGGCCAAGATGGTAAGCTCTCTCAACAAATTTTAGTTAAGCAGTAGCACTACAACTTGAGATTATCCTTATAGATATTTATATTCTTGATCTTCATCTTAGAAAAAACAAATTAAGTACCATTTCACTGATAATTAAAGAAAGAAAGAATGTACATTTTTGTTCACCACATATATTTTAGGAAATATTGCACTATTCTTATATATTGTATATATTCTTCTATATATATTTTTTAAGAATTTATTCACTCTTATATGTTTTTATATATTACTGTGTGATCTTTTCATTTATTTTCTGCAATTATTTTACTTTTTTGGACCTCTATTCCTTATTTATACATCACTAGTTTTTAGGTAAAAATCATCAATTCTTTGAAGTTTTAACTATGACCCAAAATTTTGGATAGCCCAAGATGAGTGATAAGGCTTAAATCTAAGAGAATTGGCTGGGCCTTATTTCCAAGACTAGATATGAAGATGATACCTCCTTATGGACTGGAGTATGTATCTATAAATTATAAATTAATCCTCCTAGTTTTAAAAATTAATTATTTAGTTTTTTTATTTTTAATTTATTTTTTAAGAAATAAAAAAGGTAAAAATTAATGAAAAATTAATGAAAAAAGAAGATATTTTATAAAATAAAAAATATTAAATTAATTGTAAACGTCAAACACTAGTTAAAAAACTAAATAATTAGTTGTTGAAACTAAAGAAACTAATTAATTCTTTTCTTAAAACCAGAGGGATGAAGTTATAATTTACTCGAGTATTTACATACACCTTAAAAAAAAGGGCTAAAAATCATCATGGTCTCTCTTCTTTGAACATTTGGCCAAGTAAGATAATATAAACTACATTAGACCAAATTACTACCTCTATTTCCTATTAAAGGCAATTTGAGATCGTTTTTTAATTTATATCTTAGCATGTGGCAGTCATCTGGGCATGTCTTTGTAATAGAATTGGATAAGAAGAATAAATGAAAATACTTTCAATTGAAAATAAAAAGTATTTATTTGTTCCAATTTAAAGTGAGAATATATAATTGTTTTTCACATGCAATTGAATTCCTTTGAGTTTTGGATTGGCATGAGTTGATGGATAGAATTTATATATTTTTTGAAATGGTAACAGAAGTTCCAATAAGGTCAAAGAGATTGACAAGTCGGGGACGATACAAAAGCTATATAGTAATGAGAAAGCTTACCGTTTTGTCCATCAAAGAACTGTACATATAGGTACTTCAATCATCTTTTCAAAGTCTCTGGCCATATGTTTTTGATTCTTTAATGGCTTACAAGATTATATTCAAAGTTGCAAGAAAGAAATAACCCTTTTAAGCAAGAAGATAACTTCTAGCATAAGACAAGTTTAATAGTGTGAGTTTTCCATTGATTAGCCAAAACAAGAAAAAAGAAAAGTAAGCTATAAAAGTAAAAGAATGTAACTACTGCAGCTGGGAGTCACATACTTTATTAACATCACAATGATGCCCTAGATGCTTTTCCTTTTTAGTATTCTCTTTATGTTTCTTCTTTTTATTAACCTCACATTAGAACAAAACAAATAAATAAATAAATAAGAATTCAATTCCATTGATGCTATGGTATACTACAGCAACCGGGTACTGATCCCAAAGCTTGGAAGGTATGGTATGATATACCCCATCAACCGATTGATCAATTCCAAAGTCATGAAAAAGATTATAAAGCAAGTGTAAGAGATACCAATCAAGAAGATATATTAACCATTTAAAGTTCCTTTTTCTTTTCATGATTAGTCACTTGTCATCACAAGTATTCTTGAATTTTAAGCATATATGAATTTTGCACACTTGATGATTAGGCTCTTCATGATCAATTGGTATTCCCTACATTTTAAAAAGCTTTTGCTTTACATGCTTTTTTTTTTTTTTTTTTTATTCATCCGAAGGCTTATGCGTTTTGGGTTACAAAATTGAGGTAGACTTTTTTCTTTACATAATTATTAAAAATAAACTATCTACCTACACAAACGTTGCGTTAAACTTGCTTGTTGCAGGCTTTATATTTTATTTATTATTCAGTAAAGGTCTAACATTAAAGATATGTATATATACATCAATTACTAGTTAATGAAATGTTGGTAGCTTGTTTAGCTAGGGGTTCTCATACAGTGACAACTGATCATGTCATAATTGCAAAAAGGAGAATGAATGAAAGGTAAATTACAAACTTTATAGGAATATTGATTGCTTTTCTTCAAGAGCTATGAAGTGAGTAGTCATGACTTTATTGTATTGGCTTTATTTGGAAATGCACAAAACATTCGCACACAGTAAAGATTATTTACAAAATCTTGCTGTGAACTTCAAGTACTCGCAGAAAGCTTCTTTAGAATCCATGGACATGAATTTTGCAAAGCTGATCATGACCAAAAAGGATGGCATTACTGAAGCTATTTGCTTGGTGTCAAAGAAAGTAGCCCAGCTAACCAAGGAAAGTAGCTCCAGCTTGAAATAATGCTATCTAGACAAAAAAATTAAGTTATGATTGATACATAAATTAATTCGAAAATATCCCTTATCCTCGAACAAAAAATAAAAATAAAAAAGAAATCGTATTAATTTTATGGGTAAGATAAATGGTAGAAATCAAAATTCCTGTTCTGTACTGTAATGGTTATTATTTCCTTACAGAAAGAACACAGCAGAAATGGATTAAGACAGCAGTAATTATAACAATATTGCAGGCTGGATATTCATGTTCAATAAAGTTGTGCACCAGTACAATTATTACCCTGGAAGCAAGACTTCTTACATAAATTAACAGGACAAAACACAAATGATTAGGGAGGAATTAACTTTTAATTAAGTAGCAACCATTAAGAATGCTTAAGAAGCTAGCTAACCCTAATCCGAAGTAAGGATCTGATGAGATCAAGTTTTGAATTCTTTTTCTTTCTCAGATAATATATGTCCGTTAATATCCTGAACAGAAAGAGTGAATTTTAGTAGCAATTCTTTAAAAATTATCATTCCTTTGTATATAAAAGCATCTTGTAATAAAATTTCAAAGAATTTATTATTATATATTGAATATATGTGTTTAATGAAATTTACATTAATTTTAGTAGAAATTATAATAGAACCTCGTCGACAATATATTGGACTCTGATGGCATTTAAATGCCATTAGATCCTGGTTAAAGGCATATAATAATTGCTAACAAAACTAAATTTAATTAATTGTTGCTAAACATGTATAGTAAAAATAATTTTCTTAATCTCATTATAATTTCTCTCAAAATGTGGAAATTTCTTTTTTTTTATTCAAAATTTATTTATCTCTAATATATATATATTTAAATAATTGTCTCAGTCTTTAATATATTTTTATGTTTCTTAATTGTGTCTATTATAATTCTGAAAAATGTTTAAGTCTCTAATATGTCATTTCAATTAATATTTTCGATCATGGATAATTTTTTTACCAAAGTATTTCAAACTGAAATTTTTTTCTTTTTTTAAAAAAAAACACTCATCTATTTTTAAATTTTTTAGAATTTTTATTTCTTATATTTCAATCCGGTACAGTTCAATTAAAAAATTTACTCACAGTCAAAAAAATTGACGATAGATTATAGATTTAAATAATATTCAAGAATATAATAAATGCAATTATAAACATAAAAACATATGTATTAAAGTTTCAAAAGGTTATATAAAGACGTGTTGAATTATTTATCATGTATAATCATCTTTAACAATCATATCTATCGATTTAACTTTGGTTAAAAATCAATTTCAGATCTATAAATTAAGATTAGAAGATTAGCCTTGATTCTTAAGTTCGAATCTCTTCTTAAAAATAGCTAATAATTCATATACACGCGCATGCACATTATCCCTTCATCCCAAAAAATAAGCAGAAACCCTAAAAGCAGGAATAGTGGGCCGTCCTCTGACTTAGCACTAGCACAATCCAAACATATAAACAAAGGAAAAAGTTACAAAATCCATCAAATAAGCTCCACTTACTCCTATATATTTTTGAATAACAAACAAACCAATGAGTACAATAATCCCTTTATTTCTTTTTCTTTTCTTTTTCTTTCCTCAACAATAATAATAAAAATATAAAAAAGGAAGAAGGTGGACTGGTGGTGCCAGCTCTATACATCCACAACAATATTAGAGCAACAGGAACCAAAGGCCTTTTATCCCTATCTGCTAAATTCACCCCACTTATAACAATCAACAACATACAATTAATCTCTAAATTCACAAACATTGTTAAATTTAGCTGAATTTAGCAGTTGTTCCTGTGCCTAATCCCACCTTTAAATTAACTATTAGTTAATCAAGCAGAACTACAACTTGTATCGATTATCCTAATAGATATTTATAATATTCTTGATTTCCAGAGACTCCTAATCATTTGGTAGCCTAACATCATGGATTCTTCTTGTAGCTGGCCCAGCATTGTCTGTCCATTTGAAGCTTGATCAGTTCCTTTTTCTCTTTTTCCTTTTGTTTTCTTTAGCTTTTCGTTCAAGACTGGTACAGCTAGCACAGCAATGTAGTGGCCGCTCCTAATATAATCTTTCTTCCTATATTGCAGTTATGATCGTTTCCTTGCATCTTGGTTGCTTGACACAGCACTAGCTGTACGTTTAGCTAGCTCGCTTTACTATATATCATCATCCTTCTACCTGAAAGTACCACCAAATGTTGGTGTCCAGAAATCAGCTGTGGTCTCATTAGCAACAGGAAATGTGCTGGAGATAGGCACAAGACATAGTCCTCGGCTTCTTAGATCTTGTTTTGGCCCTTCTAGGTCATTCAATTTGTCAGCTAGGACCTGCAAGTATGAATAAATGTCAAGTTAATTTATTATACCACAAAAGAATCTTTTGATTCTTCTAGTGGTGGAGTGTTGGCCAAAAGCAACACGAGGAAAGAAAGAAAGAAAGAAAGAAAGAATTGTGTTATACCTGTTGATGTTGAATGGGGTTGCCATTTTTCATGTATGTAGTACTTAAAACCTGCATTAACAAAAACAAAACATATATTAAACACTAATCCTTTAGTTTAGGCTCTTAAATATTTTTGATAACTTTTAATCCTGCTTAAATCAAATAGGGTTCCCACTTTCCCATTAATTTATGTATATGAACATTTACATATTCTTTAAGAGTAGGATTCGAACTTGAGACCTGTTCCCTTTCCCCTACACCTAGCAGAGAGCATCAACAGATTAAACACAATTGGTAAAGAGAAGATAAGGGGACATACACTGACTTGATCATGAAGGAACTTGATGTACCCAATAGCTTCATGGAGAACCGATGCAGTATCAGTCTGGAATAGGTAGAGTGCAAAACCAAAGGGTGAGCTTGCAATTGAATCACAAAGCCAAGACTTATTTTGGTCGTTTGTACTATTTGAAAAAAGCAGAAAAATCCAAAAGCTCACCTTTCCGAAAGGTGAAACCAATTGCTGGAGGGCAGTTATTCGGTCCCCTAACTTCTCTTTCCGGACCTGATAACAAAATAACATCTTCGCATTCACTTCTTCAGAAGATAAAAGGAATATCAAGAAAGAAAAAATGAAAAACAATTCTAGTACATTCTAGCACTCAAAAGCTTGATACTGAAAGCTTTCTGTACCTTGAAAGTTGGTAATGGAGATGGTGTTTCAATTCTAGGCCTTTTGAATGCTGGTTCGCTTCCTTTCTTAACTACCGACACCGACTCCCGAACTTCTTCTTTGCTAGGCTGAAATATATAAATGCGCAGAAAAAGAAATTATTTATTCCGAAACCCTAGTCACTAATTGATGAATAAGGCTAATTAATGACTGTTTAATCATCACCTTTACCTTTGTAGAGAGGTTGGGGTAGTTGGGTGTCTCTTCAAAAGTTGGCAGAAGAAATTGAGATTGTGATGAAGGTAAAAAGCTTGCTCTAATATCGTTTACTCCTGTTGGTGAGGCATTCCAATAGGGTGTGTTGTTAGTGAAGTGCATACGGCTAGGCTGTTGCTTTGGCAAAGAAGATTTTATCATGGGAGACACTTTAGGCCAGGAAGGAGATGACAATTCATTCATGTTGGTCCCATAATTTGGAGCTGTCGGCGACAAGTAATTCATGGACCGGTGGTTGAAAAGAGGCTGTACTTGTTGTTGTTGAGGATGACCAGATTCAAATAAACTTTGTATCAATGTTGAAGGGTAGCCATAATTAGTTGCTGATGGCTCCATTGAAAAACCTGTAGAAAATCCCTGGCAAGTTGGTGGCGAATTGCCGGAACTGTCAACCGGATTTAGCCTTTGTTGATCCAAGGAAAAATCTTCAGCAGAGCTTGTATAGTTCTTTGGACTCCATTCTTTTTGGATTTGAGAAGAGTTTAATCCTCCTGAATTCATATCCTCTTGCAGCATGGAATTGTAACTCTCAGTTCTTCCATTCCCAGGACTGCAAAAAGATCAAGAATTAGATCATTTTGACTTGCTTTTCGAAACACAAACAAGTAACAAGGTCATGTATCGAAACACAACCAAGTAACAAAGTCATGTAATCTTTTTCTAACTTGTAGTTGAAATTCTTTGGACTTTAAGACCTTCAAGATGGATTTCAACCATAATTTGAATTCAAGGGGAAAAAAAACAAAAAGGAACAGCATGGATGGCAAACTTACAGTAAAGCTTGGTTCCAATCCGACGACGACGAAGACGACGACGAAAGCCCGAACCCCATCATTTGCAAGGTGGAATCAATCAAAATACTGCTACCGCCACTATCTGAATCAGCCTGTTGAGTCTTTTGAGAATTTAGAAAGGGTATAGAGGTATCAGACGCTGAGGTAGTGATCATATTATTAGACCCCTTGCATGATATTGACCTTCCCTTCAAGTCTGCCATATCAGCCGTGGCCCATGACCCATAACTCCCCATATGATCACTAGTACTGATGCTCACCGTAGAACATGGTGATAAGCCGCCCATAAACACGTTTTTCGACGAATTCATCCACCAGTTTTCGCCGCAAATCCCGGCCTGAAACTCCTCTGCCATGGCAAAAAAATTGATGTATTAATTAATAATCTTTGAGTCCTCTTTGTGTGTGTGCGTGTGTGTCTTGTTCTAGCTTGTGACTTTGAGCAAGCTTACAGCTTTCTCTCTTTATAATGAAGCTATATATTATATGGTTAAGGGAATGTAATCTATGTTATATATTATATATGAAACGGTTGAGGGGTACGGACAAGGGAATTTACCAGAAATAATAGATAGTTGACATATCAAAGGGGATGATTGGACAAATGAGAGGAGGCATTTTGAATCGAATTTTTTCTTTTCCTTTACTTTACATATCTTTTATTATTATTATTATTATTATTATTAATTTATTGGACCGGGGAAGAATTTTTTTTTTCCGAAAATTCTTGTTTTCTTGTTAGTATTTTTTCTAATCTTTGCCTCTTTGAAGTATTCTTCGATCCGAAAAATTTTAAAATACTTAAAGAATAATTACTTTATATTTATAATAATTACTTTATGAATTATTTATTTTTTTATCCTCAACGTATTTCAAGCTCAAATGTTCGGACTAATTTCTTGTTATTCCGTCGAACATAGAAAGCAAACATATCTATCTAAGGAGTTTTTTACACACAAAAAGATTTGAATTCAATATTACTTACTTAAACGACTAGAGTTCTTTTGACTCAAGCTAACTCTCTTGGGTTATAAAAAAAAAATCACTTCTAACATGACAAAAAATTATAAAAATATTTTCATCTAGACTCAATTTTTTTTATAATTTTTTTTATCTCTCATCTTTGATTTTATCTCTCTTTTATGAGAGAAAGTATTGATAGTTTTTGTACATTAAAATCATTAAAAAAAAAATGTTTCGATTAGATTTTGAACAGACAATTTATATGCTAACTATGCATTTATAAGAAACTTTTTCAGAACATTTGCCACATAGTCTTAAACTTAAAATCGTTTTAACCCTAATAATATATTATAAAATACCATTTACATCTGAAAATTGAAGTTAGTAAATAAGATTTTAGAATGATTTTGTATTAACTTTAACACAGATCCACTTACCATTTTAGCCACACATCAAAATTCTTTCCATATTTTTTTAAGTTTTTCTGGTTGAAAGTTTTTGTTCCTTATGAGTAAAGGGATGTGGGCATGGTTATGATTATGATGGGGATTGATCAAGATGCCACGTCACAGTTTTTTATGAATAATGTTCTTTCTTTATGAAATCCAACGGTTGATATTCATTGTTGATTAGTAACCAAAAAAGTTAAAACAAACCTGAGAAACTGGACCATGTAGACAGAACCTGACGGTCCCAAATGTATGATTGTGGATGGTACAGTAGGTTTGGTTTCTACATGCCATATTTTCTAATCCTTGGCGCGTGATGGTCGCTACTGCAATTGCAAACCCAAAAAGAAGATTAGCTGAAGTGCCCTAATACAGAGAAAAGCAACTCAAAAAAAGTGTCGATTAATTTTCCCTAACACATGCCAGCAAATTAGAAGCAACAGAAGGCTAAAACAACACACAAAACCCCACCCAAATAGGAGTTAGAATGTGCATATATGATTGAAATTTGGATTTTTTTTGGAACTTTGTAAATCATTATTTTAAAACTATAAAAACTATATTAGAAAAAAATCTTAAATTTCGATCCCAGCATAAATACAATAAGAACTCGATCCTTACTAAATTCAATAAGAATTTTTCTAGATAAAAGAAATGTATGGTATAAACATAATATTTTTTGTCGTAGAATGGTAGATAATCTACCTATCTTTCAATTTTTACTATAAAATAATATATTTTTTTTTGTTTTATCCAAGTATTCCACGTTGGAGATATGACTAATCATATTCGGAGTGAGAAGAACAAAATTTAATTCCTTATAATAAGTTCAAATCCAAGATTTAAATCTTGCACATTGACAAAAATTCGTCATAGAAACCAATTTGTTTACTATTAGACCAACAACTTTTTTGTATAAAATAGTAAAAAAAATCTAACATAACAAGTAAAATTTTCAAATTTGTCTTTAACATTCATATGAAATAAATATTTTTTTTCAAAAAAAATTAGGATATCCCAAGTCAAAAAATATAGAATAATTCTTCACTATTCAATCGGATATACAAGATAGACATATCTATATAAAGATTTTTCTTTTTCTGTATACACAAATATTCAAAATCGAAGCTAATTACTTAAGGGATTAGAGTCCTTTTTGCTCAAGTCTAACCCTCTTGGGTATTAATATTTGTTTTTAATTACATTAGAAAGATGGATTTAATTACTTGAAATGTAAAAAACTAACCTAGGGATATGCCCTCGAGTGTACTTCTTTGCATTATCTTTTTGACAGAGCTTTATCATCAAGTGAAACAAAGAATATAATTAATTCTCAATTACAAGACTGGATGGTCCCTTCGTTTATGGAAATGAATCATTTATTAGGTTAGTCATTTGGTACAAGCATGTATCTATTATTGGGGTGGATATGGCACTAGCTAGTCCACTATTAGGTAAATGATGCTACATGAAGTCTGTTACAGATTCTCTAAGGACTATTCATTTTGAAATAATTAAATTTTAACAATTATCACATAACAGTGAAGGGATATCTCAACAATTATGATATGTTTGGGTATTCCTTAACAGTCTTAATTAGTATTATGTCATTGTGTGTGTAGAAATTCTCAGCCCTGCACTTTCATACCCATCAACTCTATGATGTTTCCCAATTTCTTAAGAAGACATAGCACATGCAAATCCATAAAATGAACAGCTACCTGCTATGGATACAAAGAAAATATAGAAATGATTGAGCAAATCACCCCCCATATGTCTTCATTGCGTGAGGTTTTTATGCATTATCCAAATTGCATGCCAAAAGGTTTTGAATAGAACTTATTGTTCAATTTGCCCATGAAGTAGACTTGTTGCATGGCATACGGTATGTCTACTTTTTGAAATTGGAAATATTCATTGATTTTCAATAATGCTAATGTCGCAACATTAGTTCTCTTTACGTATAGATAAGCTATATTGCAAGTATGTTTTCAAAGAAAAGAAATAGGAGGAAAAGGGAAGAAGATCAGTGGCACAGTTGACCAAACAATTTTCTACACACCTAATTTCTTATGCAATGAAATCAGCAAACTGGAATCAATGATCCCATGACAAAAATCAATTGAGAGTCAATCTCGGATAAATCATCAAATTTGTCGATGATCATTTAAATTAAGAATAATGAATAGGTAACAAATTCTCTTTGCAAGTCAAATTAATTAAACTGCATGTGATATTCCTGAAACATTAGGTGCATGCAAGGACTAAATGCAACTTTTTTTTAGCAGGGGAGTCAACCACATTAACTTAATTAATCAACTACAAATTCACTTACATGCATGCGCTACATTACTCCTTTTTTTTGTCAAAAATAATTTCATCTATTAAAAAATAATAAAAATCATATCCTAAAATCTCATTTAATAGATTAAATTTTTAGTTGAAATGATTTTGAGTATAATATAAAAAATTTAATGGCAAAATGATCACGAGTTTAAATTTCATCACTTCAACTTGCAAGTTTCAAGTAAAAAAAAAAATCATTTAAAAAAATATTTTTGGATAATAATATAAATTATATTTTAGGATTTTACTCAATAATTTAACTTTTTGAATTGAGATTGCTGTTTGACATCATCTCATATACATTAAGCAAAAAGTTGGGATCTTTCAAACAATTTCGGTCTTAGCTAACAAATAATTCAAAATTGTCCAATGATTAACAATTCATAAAAGGCTATTTTTACTACATTATGAAGTCTAATCACAAATTCGTGAAAGAAAAACAGAAGAAATGGATCAAATTCTTGAAAGAGACAAAAGAAATGGATGAAATAGGACAGTAATGTCGAATTGCTTCCGAAAAGATAGGATGAGATTCACTAGGATTGAAAGAGAGAAAGTTGACCGTTTCCATAAAAAAATTAGCATGAAATGAACTACATTACTTGAATCTATTATTTACAAAATCAAAATCTATCATAATAATAAAATATATGTGTGTGTCTATATATATATAGTTGACTTGTACAAATTGAAAAATAAAAACTCAAAAGGTAGTAGTTAGGTAAGATTCATGAGTTCTGATTTTCCTTGAAAATGCAGGAAAAAGACTATAATTTCTCAACACTGGAAGCTCACTTGACACTGATATTTTATATTTCTATTAAGTCAATCGTCTGCCATTAGAATCAAATCAGACAATTTTGTCAGCAACCACGTGTGAAATATATTGAATGATTCTTGACATTCATATAAAGTTGTATACATAGATCCATAGTAATTGATTGTCGCAATTGAGAAATATGTGTACAAAGTATACAAGTTATGGACCACTACCTAATAATGACTAATAAATACTATATCTTAATGGTCACACGAGTATTATTATGAATTGCCTAACAATAATGGTTTTTTTTTCCTCCATCGAATATTTTCTTTGGAGACCGTCTTAATGAGTTTTGAAAAAGAGGAGCTTAAAGGAAAGATAGTTCAATTTGGCTCAATGCACACATTTGGCTTTATTCTAGGGGGAAAAATAAATAAATAAATATAGACACCATACGTGTTTCTATTTTGCACCTTTTTATTACCAAAAAGGATTAAAATTGATAAATTTGTAGCTCAATTAGTATTCGTATTTTTTTCTCTAAAAATCTCTTTTTTATTTTTTATTTTTTATTTTTTAAATAAAAATGTAGTAGGATTAAGGTTTTATTAACATGTTCCTGTTGATATTTTTTAGTAGAATCTTTTTTTTTTTTTCATGAGAACAGATATAAAATTAATCTTGTTGAGCTTTTTTCTTAATTTACTTTTTAAAAAATTTCAATCATTAGATTATAAAATTCACTTATTAAAGGCATAAAATTTTCTTTCACTAGGAAAGATTTTTCGAAAAGAAAATTTACTAAGATTAATGTTGTTGTTAGAAAAATGTTATG